GCAGTAAAGGGAACAAGAAGATAGTGCCATTTGTAATTATTAACGCAATTACAATTAATATTTAACGAAATTACAATTAATTATTTATTGCAATTATTAACAAATTAGTAACGAAAGTTGAAAAGTTAAGTTAATCGAATTTTAAAAGCGTTAGAAAGGACTGGATCGGACTTAATTTTTATTAAACATTAGAAATTAATCGAAATTTTTATAATTTAGTAACCTAATTCGCGATTAGATCTATTTAACCTGGCAAGATTGATTTAAATATTTGACTGTGTTTGCCTTTTTAAAAAACAGTTATTAAAATTTTTCAACATTTTCATCTTCAATGTAGATGCATTCTTTCAGGTGATACATTCACTGCTCGTAACATCTGCGCGAAGCAGGCCGTTTCGACGCCAGCGGTTCGACGCCAAAGTTTCGACGCCGAGGCAGTTGGACGCCGTACGTTTCAACGCAGGGGCAGTTCGACGCATATTTTTTTTCGTATTTTTACTTATTTTTAGAATAAATATGAAGTAATATAAATAAGTAATATGATTGATTTTTATTTTTTTATTTATTGAATTAGCGATTGTTTGCATGCATATTTGAAATAAATATATGTGTGTATATGTGTGTGAAAGTGTTCTAGATTTTTGTTTGTGTCCCAGATTAGTGAGAAGCCCCCTCGGCAACGTCAAGGCTCCGGGACATTAGGGTTTTTTTTAATTTATTTATTTCACAAAACAGCATCAAAAATGCAAAATACACAAATGGTAAATAAACATATGGTTACAAAATAGTTATATTATATTGCAGACAAATATAATTACTGATAAATCAGATTACATATAAATAAGATTAGAGATAAATAAGATTATATCACAGAACTGTTATTATACACTCAAAAGTCTTTAATTCGGACACCCATAATCCGGAATGATCTATAATCCGGACCTCAAAGCTGCGCGTAAGACCTTTACGGCTGCGCACATGCGTGTGCGCATGCGCATAATACGTTTACGCGTGCGCGTTTAATGTATAACGGACGATATAAGCTAAAATTATCTAATTATCTATTTCAGTTAATGTTGCAGATTGCGTTGTTCCTTAATCTTCGAATTGGATCCGGCTTATTATTTTTTGCAGACTGTTAGAGCAATTTTATAAAAGTAAGCTTGAACTTTCGATTATGTCAAATAGAATTTCCGATGCTGGAGCTCCCAAAGTATCTACAAAATGAAAGTATGTTTCGATGTCCATCAAAGAAAGGTGGAATTGCTGCAAAAAAATGGATAAAGGCATATCCTTTGTTTCTATAACAATTCCGAAATCTGTTTATCAATTTCACGCTGCTCTGCGGCAGGGGGGGGAAACGCCGCGGTGCGCAATGAATTGGAAGTTGATCTGTCAGCACTATCCTTATCTTCAGGGCAGATGTTTTTATTTTATTTGACTTATAATTCCTTACAAAATTTAGTATTTCATCTCGATGTACTCCGTCTTTGATATGATTTAAATCAAATTCCTCGTCATTATAATTCGCTTCCGATAGTGAAGAAAGTGACACAGAGGTTATTGAAAACGAAAAAATTTCGATTGACAAATTAGTCGGTATTCTCGACACAGCAATTATAGGACTTGAACAGCGGAACTTTGTAACTGAACAAGAAATTATGCCTGTTTATAGAATTAAAGAGAAAGTATTATCACATAAAACGAAGCAACTTAAACAACTTACACTGAAAGAAATGTTTAAATTTTGATACCCTTTAGATCATAATTGTTCTTTATTTCATAAATTACGGTTTCTTATTTTTAATTTTATAATTTCTGCGTGCCATCTTACCAGATTTAAACTGATGATCTATAATCCGGAAAAATCCATAATCAGGAATCGCCGAAGTCCCGACGAGTCCGGATTAACGACTTTTGACTGTACTAACCCATTGCAAAGTTATGCGCCACATTTTTCAGGTATTCCTTTATTACTCGATTTTCAAAATCTTCAAATACATGTATGTATGTAATGTATTACTTTAATTCTCATATCAGCTCGCAGATACCTATTCCGCTTGTGCGGCGGTTCATCTCCACGTACAAATTATTCATAACATTGATCAAATGATTTATGAACACGCCTGAGACCATCTATGAATTCCCATAATGTGGGGTGTGAAACACCAAATGATGATGACACCAAATTTATTTGAATGATGATGCAAACTTATTCTAAAAATAAATAAAAATACGAAAAGTATGGCTTCAAACAAAAGCAAAGCAAAAAAAGTATGGTGTCGAACTGACCCGCGTCGAAGCGACCTCGTGTCGAATTGACCACGCGTCGAAACGCTGGCGTCGAACCGTTGGCGTCGAAACGTTCGCGTCGAACTGACCTGTACCGACATCTGCGAAAATCGTCTCTCCTTAGTTATCCAGATATTTTATGCTGATAACGTTACCTGGTTCTCGTGGATAATTTCCAGGGCGAAAGCAAGAAATAAGTTAGCATTAGATCAGTAGAGTACGGTGAAGCATGAGATAATTTGGTTTCCGAAGCTTCTGTCGACAAATCTTTTAGCCAGTTTTGGATCTGCAGTCTGAAGAAATGCGCCTATAGTAGCGGCCATTATCTTTAAAAGAATAAAACATCAAGGCTTTAAAAGAAAAACAGGAATTAACTGTTTAAATTATTGCTGCGAAGTTAAACCGAGTTTTAATCCTTTCTACGTATACGAAAACAACTTTTGTTAGCCATAATTTAAATAATTAAACATGAGTTAATACTTTAATTGTATGGTTTGTCTTCGAAATCATGAACTTTTCAATAATGTCTTAAATAATTAAGCCTTTTTTTATTTCACAAACCTTGTTGTTATAATTTTTCTAATATTTTTAATTACAACCGTACAGTTATTGCAATTCCATGTCGAACCTGAATTTCCTGCACTGCAGTATACACTTTATAAAACTTGGAGATTTCACATTCCTTTTTTAATGTCTTCTTTCCAACTGAAATTGACCTCAGTCCTTGGCAAGAAAGAGAAAATTTTATATGCAAGCTTGTTGAAAGATTTCTAGACATGCGCTACATGCACAAATATAAAGTATTTAAAAAAGATTGCACCACTAAATATCTCTTCAACAGTTGATGATGAGCAGGCCTATGGTTCCTAATTGAAAACGAATCAAGTAAAGCAGGCTTTCAGAGTAAGACAATTTTAGACACATGGCAATTTTCAGTAAAAAATATACGAAATACGTTTTTATAGAAAAATTATACGAAATTAAAATTTTTATGAGCCTTGAGCAAAAAAAGGGTTTTATCAGTAAGTTGCTGCTTAATCTACTAAAGATCATTCAGAGGAGATCGTCTGTTCTTTGATATGCTAAACTGAACCTGAAATTGACTGTGGAAATTACATGACTTAACCGTTCCATCCGATAAAAAGAAAGTTAAAAGCGTCTACTTTAAATGTCCTAAAATTCGATTTCGTTAGATGTAAGCTACTGAATTAGAATATTTCTACAAGTGAGAATTTGAAACTTATCCTTTATTCGGTTATTTTCCTGCCGTCAAAGGTATCTGTTAGATTTACTTTCTGAAGCTCAGCGTAATATTCTAGGCTATGCAAATTCATGCTAAACATATTAGCTATGCAAATGTATTTAAAAACAGGACGAGTATCTTCACCAGTATTTGTATATGATCTATAGCCATTTTAATTAACCATATTTGAGTTTAATTTTTAACATATGAGCACGGATTTTTTTTAAACAATTAGATTATAGACACCATTTGCCTAACTGAATTTGTTTTTTAAGCATTTAATAGTTTATTACTTGATATGTCTTTCATAAGCACAACTCTGATAAAAATTTTACAGTGATGCAGAAAAATCATCAATCGCGCTAAGATGCAACATTAATTACACTTCCTGAAAATAGCGTAATTATTTAGCCACCCTAGGGAGCAAGGGTATTGCGACATAAAGGGAGGATTCCGAGAATAGTTAAAAGTTATTAAGGAAAAACTGCAAAAATATGGAGTTACGCTAAATTTTCATTTATATGTAGTTACATTTCAGTTCAGTATTTCCAATTTCGTTCAAAATTTTGAGAAATGTAAATTACCGATATTCCATTGTACGACTTTATACCAATCCCTTTCATGCAAAGCTGTTTTTTTCTTCTTCTTTCATCATAGACATTTTTCAGCTTGCGAGAAAGAATTGCATGTAAATTGCTGACAACACTTATGGTTACCACGCCTGCAATGCCACACAAAAGCGACGGAGACACTGGAAAAGAAAAGCAGTAAATTCAAAATATACTTTTAAATATGCAGCTATTTAAATTAAATTTATTATTTAATTTACTATAAAATATTGCTATTTTTGAACAGTTAAGTTCAAGACTAAGGTTAGAAATGCTTGTATATAATATAGAAAATAATGCTTAAATAAATGTTGGAGTTTAGCATTAACCAAATATTCTCATTCTTAAAATGCCTTTTCGTGGCTTATAACGTTGTCACTAACACTGCATCATACATTACAGCTGCATTTAAAGTTGAGCAAAAGTATTTAGCAACAGAATTCTAAACTTGGCACAGAGCCCACCAGCGGCCGAGCGGTAAAGTCGCTGAACACTGGTAGTTCGGTCCGAGGTTCGAATCCCGCGAACGGGCTGGCTGCATGGGTGTTTTCGTGGTTTTTTCCATGTGTAACGTGTATACGAGCCAGTTTTCCTTAGAAAGTCCTCAACGAAGGCTATCCCTTGCCTTAGGCAGATAGCCCTCGAAGCTTTGCCGTAATTAAATAACCGAACCTAACCTAAACTTGGCATAAATGAAGAACAGAAATGTGATCTAAATTTTATTTTAAAATATTATATCTCTTATCTCAATGTGAAAGCTGATCTAATAAAAATGTCTCAAATGTGAAATAACTACAATAATTCGAAAACTTTATACTTTCTGTGTTAGTATTGATACTCGCCATGGTGGCAAAATACATTTTTTTTTTTTCTTCCCTTCTTTTTTTTTTTTTTTTTTTTTTTTTTTTTTTTTTTTTTTTTAGTTTGAAACACATTTTAGGTTACTTAGAAAAAGTTTATCGCATGCAGAGTCGAGCCTAGATATTTCTCCAGAACAGACAGAAAGTATACTCTTACATACAATGTAAAATTTTTATGTGCACTTTTTCATTGTAATATATTTTAAGATAATATTTTTAAGTGCCATACTTTAGTTGTTGCAGAAATTTTTAATAATTTATTTTATATTGAAAAACCAGTATGTGAATTACAAACTTAAGGAACGAAAGTTAAAAAATAAATAAATCAGTCAAAGTAACAAGTTATGCATGGAACAGTATAACTTGTATTAAAAAATTTCCCTATTTTTCCAGTATTTTATGTTTTTTCTCTTAATAAAGCAATATCGTCATTATTTTTTAATTTATATAATTATTTTATACTCGATAAAACAGAATAAGTGCATTTGATAATTTTTTCTCCCAAAGTGAAAGATCTCAGATATTTTTCGTAATTTAAGTGCCCTGAAACTTTTCCCAGTCAGGGTTTTAAAACCTGCTCTCGCTAAAAGTATTCTTAACACAACTTCTAAATTTAGATTCGATGGAGTATTTAAATTCTAAGTTCAGGTGTGATAACTTTAACTTATAGCTCCTTTGGTGTATGGGGTTATTTAAATTACACTTTTTTTTTTAATCAGAGGATTCCTATACATTGTTGTAGCCTTTATGTAATAAAACCAAACTAGCTACGAAAAAATAATTCTAGTCATGTCTCTGCGTCCGATAAAATACTGCGCTACTAATATATAAATTGATTGTAATAATACGTCTCCATATTTAGAAAGACGTGTATAAAATCCTCTTCTAGGTCCTTATTTTTAACTTTAGAATGCAAAATAAATATCTTATAGTAAAAGGTCTGTTAATAACTTCTGAAGTACTTTCTGGGCCAAAATAAATGAAAATAAAATTCCTGTCTCGAAAGTGAATCACGATATCCAGTTGTAAAGTAGTTTTAGATTTTGCTTATTACATGCTCCGCCCTTAGGCAAGGAAAGGGAGGGATGCCCCGTGGAGGTCTTTTTTTTTAAGGGAAACTCTCTAACGTGGATACGCCACGTTAGGGACTCGATCCCCGGACCGAACTACCACTGTTCAGCGGCTTTTACCGCTCGGCCGCTGGTGGGCCTATTGTTCTTCATTTAGAATCGAAAAAAGTGTTAAACAACATCTGAATAGATGATTTATCAGAGCTTCAATTGCGCCGGAGCCCACAGGAGCCCGGCTCCGGTTCTTTTCAGTTTTCGAGATAAATTATAATTTCAGTCGGAGCCCTAAATAAAAGGGCTCCGGCACTTCTTTTATGTAAGTGAACCACAATTTTAGCAGATAAATTTTGTTTAATAGTAAACCCTTAAAATCAATTCTAACTTCTGAATGCAGGCCTGTCTTTCCCTCTTACTCAAGGCCCACCAGCGGCCGAGCGGTAAAGTCGCTGAACACTGGTAGTTCTGTCCGAGGTTCGAATCCCGCGAACGGGCTGGCTGCATGGGTGTTTTCGTAGTTTTTCCCTTATGTAATGTGTATACGATCCAGTTTCCCTTAGAACGTCCTCCACGAAGGCATCCCTTCCCTTTAGGCAGATAGCCCTAGTGTGCTTTGCCGTAATTAAAATACACCACCCTCTCACTCAAGCCTTACACAGAGGTTGAGACTTTTAAGGAAAGAAAAGACCTCCGATCATATGTCAAAGTCTTATTTTCCAAGATATGCAATGAAGTTATAAGAACGGGCAAACTTTGTATTCCTCAAAGTACTAAAAATGATACCCTAGTCGTAAAGGTTCCACGATAGTGACTTCCTATTGCAGAGCTCCTGTAGACGTTCTCAATGATGTAACGAAACGGGGGAACCATTGCTGTCACATGTACGGAGAAGTCTTACGTTTAATCTCACGTTGTTATCGTATTCAGAGAAAATTTCTGCTTGACAGCTAGAATTATATCGACAGGGCATCACGAACTCTTGAGCTCTTCCCTCTTTATTTTCAAAGCTACACTTTTCCGATAAAATTTCCTTTCATATCTTCATACTGTTTCAAAGATTCTCACTATTCTCCTTAGTGGAGCTTTAATCGTTTTATCTTTTTTCCTTGATGTGTTGTAAAAAAAAAGAGTGGTACATGTCATCCCTTGGAATAGTACATTATACGCATAATCAGGGCTTAAACTCAGATAGAGATCGGCTAAACTGCTTCTTAGCTTCTAAGTGGAACTGTAATTCCAGCCGATGCCCCGAATAAGACAAGGTCCGATATTTTTTTCTATGTAACTAATTTAAATTAATTTAATAATTTATTAGATTTCTTTTTATCTCTTTACATTTCGCTTAATTTAAATTTAATTATTTTAATTTTTAGAATATTTATTATTTTTTTTCTTTCCTCACAGTCTTTCATAGGGCTCCGGCACTTTTAATTTTAGAAATTAAGCCCTGACATTATTTACTATTTTAAACAATTAATGTTCACTGTTTGCAGTGTTTCTGACATTTATGATTTAAATTATACTAACTGTTAGCTTCATGTTAATTTCTTTCCTTCAAGCCTTGTTTCGTTAGGTAGTTGCTGAAATCAAAGTTTTTTGCAAAATTTATGACAAACGGCGTTGAAAAGAGATTTTCTCCTCGTTTGCAAGTTACGAAAGGAAAAGCACTATGTCTAAGATCATTTTAGTTTTTGTTGAATGGCACATGACCGCATTTCTAGATAACCCATCGTTGTTCACACTTAGTGATTCCCACAAAACATTTCGAAGCACGTTTATACGTAGGTGTATCCAAAAACAAGAGGTTACAAGCATCAACATTTGAAAATTATTGTAGAGGGAATACTTTATCCCCGGTTATGCGGGTAGTTAAGAGTAAGTTTGAAGACACGTTAGACCGACTGAAATAGCAAGACATTAGAAATGTGGTCTCGCTTGGAGGTGCGAGCCGTGATTCATTGCCCTTATCGATATCTGGAGCGTGGCCTTAGACAAGGTTACGTGAAGCCATCCGACGCAAGTGCCCTGGCATGCTAAGTATTAATGGTGTCATTCTCCTGCATCTTCCTCAAATTTCGGTGGGAAATGTGGAGTCACCACCCATATAGCACAGGTTTAGCACCCAATGGCTATTTTCTTTTTCCGAAATTGAAGGAACGTTTATCTGGAATGAGGTTCTCTTCGGGCAGTGATGTGAAAACAGCCACTGAGAACTGGCTCAATGGGCTGGGACATGATTTCTACAAAGAAGGGTTAAACAAGTTGGTCCTACGTTCAGATAAATACCTAAATAGATTTAGTGATTATGTGGGAAAATGATGGGCAATTATGCCTTCTTCTTAATTCCCTTTTATATATGCTGTCTATTGATAATAAATCATTTTTTATTACCCTTATAATTCTTTTTTGGATCCACCCTCATATTAAGCTCTTAATCTGGCCGAAATGCCTTTGGTGGTTTCACCATTTCGACCTTTCAAAAATACTACTGTTTCTCTTATCCTTTCAATTAAAAACGGGCCTTCGAGCTTATCACAAAACTTCCTCACGTTTCTTTCTGGTGCCCCCGAAACAGAATGTTTAATTTTCAAGACTTATTCTCCTACCTCCAAAGCAACATCCTGCCTTTTCTTGTCATAATAAAACTTTTGTTTCGTCCTGGCCGTATCCTAATTTCTAATTGCTTCGTCCATACACGATGCTTGGAATTCTCTCCGTTGTGCTGCTGCTTGCTTAAGAACCGTCCGTCAGAAAAGAAACTGAATGCCTGATGCTTAGTCTTGTTCAATAAATGAAGAAAGTTCTGTGTTTTTGTCTGACCCAACAATGTCGTAGCCTCGCTTATTGTTTTGTTGAAATCTTAGGCTAGCCAATATATCTGTAGGTTAGCAGTGAGTTACTGTCAATGAGAAGACGGAATATTTGATTTATTCTAGTTTTAATTAAAATATCATAAGTCGTGGAGAATAAAGTTGTATTAGCTATTACCTTTTGATTGTGTCCATAGTAAAATCTAAAAGGAGCGATAACTCACAAGTCTAACAAGAGTTAACTTCTAACGGTTAGCTGTTAGATAAATAGCAAGGAGTTTGGTTCAGTGAGCACTTTTAGATGTTACAAATTAATCATTAAAAATTAATCTTAACTAATTAAACATATATTTTAAATATTATTCTATGCATTTCTCTCACCACTTCCTTCAGAAGTACATTTTATGCTGTACGAGTATGTAAGTATATATTTTATACTTACATACTCGTAGATGTCCCAGGTGGGCATATTAGGCACAGTGTTGAAAATACCCCTTCTTTCAAACTTTCAGTAGAATATTTTAAATTCATGTAGTTAAAATGTTTTACACGTCTTTGCTTCATATTTTCCTTTACCTCTAAAATGACAATGCGCTGTCAAATGCATTGACATCGTATTCTTTATTACGAAACCATCCTTCTCAGTTCTAAAGCAATTCAACAGTGGTGTTTTTTTTTTTTTTTTTTTTTTTTTTTTTGTGTTTGTTTGTTTTTTAAGGTACGACGACTTAAAATGGAAACCTGTTTAAAAGGAAAATCATACTTTTATACTTTGAGTGGTATACTGGTGTTTAGCAGAGATGGAAAGGAAAATGAATCCGAGACTTCTAAAAATTATTATTTGGCTGTTGTTAATTTAGTGGTGGACGTTTATAACTTAATTTTTTTTTTTTTTTTTTCATCTCTATCTTGAGTTCGCATAAAACTCTGAAACGAAAAATTGCGGGTTAAATGCTGGCTGCATCACCATAATGTGTTTACGGCAACATTTGATGAAGAAAATTTATATTAATTCACATCCATATATTATCTCTTACAGTCAAATTCTCATTCTTCCGTAGTCCGACTCCCCTGTTTAATGTTCCCACGAGACAAGTACCTTATTCGCCTTTCCCTAATCTTGTTCTTATGTGTGAATGGGGGGAAAATTTCAAGCCTCGCAGAAAAAAAGTGGTGCAAGAGAACTTAAAATTTTATATGATGTTAGGTTTGAGTTTTATGACATACTGCAGTGAAATTTTATGAAACTGAAACGTTTTATTCTCTGCTATTTTCGAATAGAAAAAGAATGAAGTGTCAGGGAAGAGAGTGGCTGACAAAACATTCGGATTTTACCTCAGTCGGAAAGAATGCACGGTGAAGAAAAGCAGGCACCTGTGCATCCAGGTAGGAGTATTAGATAACGCCAGTCCTTGCAAACTGATAAGTTTCCATCCCGGATATAATTTCGAGGAAGAACACCCGGGGTACTGTCCGAACGTTTCTCCCCCCTCTTCCCCTACTACTGACCTCTCGAGAAGATTTTGGCTCGCCGTGTGTTTTGAGTGCCCCCTTCCCGCACAGACACTATTTGCTTATAGGTTAGGTTAGGTTAGGCTATTTAATTACGGCAAAGCCTCGAGGGCTATCTGCCTAAGGGTAGGGATGCTTTCGTGGAGGACTTTCTAAGGGAAACTGACTCGTATACACGTTACACATGGGGAAAACCACAAAAACACCTATGCAGCCAGCCCTTTCGCGGGATTCGAACCTCGGACCGAACTACCAGTGTTCAGTGACTTTACCGCTCGGCCGCTGGTGGGCCTATATGCTTAGAGACAGCCATGCATTATCCAGTGCATTGATATTGGTCGCGAATATAATGAAAAATCCCACGAGAAACTATAGCTCAAACACCCCCTTCACTGTAAGGCTCGAACTTCTTCCCTCGTATATTATTTAATAAATTTAGAAAAATCGAACGCATAGCACTGCATCGCTAAATATAATTATTTCTTTTACATTATTTATCTACCTACATGTAGCGTTTTTATGCTTCTAGAGAAAAAAGATTCATGTCTCCACACCTAAAAGTTCAAGCCTGAAAAACATTCCTTCTTAGTATTTTAGATAACACTGTTTTATTGATATTTTATTTTATAAATTTAATTAAGCAAAGAAACTAGGCGGAAAATTTTCATGATGATGTTTCAAATGCTATTCTTGATGATTATTTTAAAATAAGAGTTTAATAATTATTTTCAAATAGCATAGTTAGAATGATTTTATTTTGAAGTGAATCGAAACTTTGGCCTCATCACGCATTTGAATGCTTTTAGTCAACTGAGTTACAGAAACCGTCGCATTTTCCCTCTCAATTTCTTCTTTCTCTCAAACGGAGATGTTCTTAGTGGAATCACTTTATTTATGTTAGAAGAAGCTAATGCAACTTATTCAAAAAACTTCAGAAGGTATATTATGTTGCTAAAATGATCTGATTTTATAAACTTCTCAAGTAATTGGTTCATGGCAATGCTTTAATTTCATTGCCTATTCCAAAAATAAGAGCAATCCGAATGATGAAAAAAAAAAAAAAAAAAAAAACAATTCATTGCTTCTTAATGTGTAACAACTTCATTACAGAATAATACATGCATGTACATAGTATTTTGTTTCTTCCTCATTTAACATTTTTCTGCGTGGTTCATATCTTTTTTTCTTTCCCTTTTTAAATTTCATATAAAATAAAATTTGTATTTAATATAGTTAGCAACAAAACGAACTTAACATATTTACATATGAATGTGTTATTTTCATATTTAACCAAAAATTTACAATAATCGTACCAAAAAATGACAGGTTATAGCCCAAGTGAATGTGTTACATACCGAATATTCCCACTGCATTTTATAAAGTCCAGATTATCCTATCTACTCTAGTCTGAAAATAATATTCTCATATATATTAATAAAATAGCCAGTACTCACATATATTTGAGTAATAGTTCAGAATTTGCTGTATATTCATCGATTCCTTGTAAAATTACTCTTTTTTAGAGAGTTATATGCTACGCTTTCTGCTCTGCATTTGGACTGCAGGAAAGTGGCGGCACATACGAAAAAGCTTTAGTTAAGAAGTGCATGGTCTGGGTTAAAAATATCTCTCATCTCTGGACGATTTATAAATACTTCTTATTACTCAGCACTTTTATTTTTTATACTTCTTTTTTCAACACCTGCATTATTTTTTTCCTTACGCCTTTTATGAGCCATGTAAAAATAAAAATAAATAAAACTCATTTCGATTTTAATTCTATTATCTTTTAAAACGTTAAAATGTAACTTATAAAATTACTTTCCTTTTTAGATTTGCAAGTAAAAGAGGAAAAAAAAAAGGGCAACTAGAACATCTCTTGTGAACTAATAATTTACCTGCATGGGAGTTAATAGATTTGTATCGTGTCAAATTTCGTTTGAATCGAAGAACTTCAGCATTAGACATTCAAACAGAATATATCCTTCTTTTCTGAATTCATGTGTCATTTTTTTAACATTGAAGAAGTATCACCTTTTTATGTGAAGTGAAGTGATGACAGCAACTGGTCCGTCTGGCCACTAAGTGGCCCTTTGACATCAAACTGGTTGTCACAAATTAAAAAGAAAGAAAAGAGAAAATTACATAAACACGTTCACATTATCACACACACTGAGACGGGTATTCCCATCAGCTGTTTATTTGAGTTTATCATTTCCATCTGTGTCTTGCAAAACTTTCTGGCTATTCCATAATTGTTAAAAACACATTCAGCATTAAAAATTCCACTTTGCTTAAACTCTTCACGTATATCATTAAGAAATCCACAAGTCTGGCGTAGGTGCTGTTCATTTCTAAGTATTTTATAGCTGCTGTAAAGGTCAAAGTCTTGGAGACCTGTATTTCTTTGAATATAAAGGAAATCTGCCGTGACTCGTTAAAATCTGCTTGCAATCAAAATCATGATATAGTAATCCTTTTTTCGGTTTCATATATTTCATATGTCCTTTGTTTTTTTCCTGAAACTTCATCTATTTTCATTTCATCACTATTATTATGCATTTATTTTTCAGTGACATATTTTTCCGTTAGGATTAAAGCTTTCTTTGTTGACCCCTGTAGCTCAATGAATATCGATATTTGTCTGTTTGTAGCTTCTTTCGCTAGCGTGTCCGCCCGTTGATAGCTAACGTAACCCACATGTACCCTCACCCAGTTAAATATAATTTCATGATTCTGAACCAATTCCTGATAAATATTCTTAATATGTATTATTAGTTCATTTGACTGGGCCAGGTGGGAGATAACTTGTAAAGTAGAGAGATAGTCAGAATATATAATAATACTATGGCCACCATGAAATGTCCTTTTAACTCATTTCAATGATGTTAGCATGATTAATGATGTCATCTTTCTATGCACGAAGCAATACTGTAAAGGTAGCAAAGAAATCCTTCTCTAGCCCTGGGATTATGAATGTACTTTCGGTCTCGCAATTAAAACACCCGATTAGCTAACTGCAGTTCTCGGGTCGACCTTTTTAGTCTCGATGATTGGCTTCTCGGAGGGCGATGATATTCGTCTCGATAGATGACAGCTATAGTGCAGGGCATCACACACTTCGTCGAATTCCAGGAATCAAATATACGCAGTGAGAACCCGGTCTATCTTTTTCAACCGGATACAAAGGATAAATGAAGAATGTGGCCCAGTGATCACACCGAGTAAATTGTAAATACTATGTATTACTTCTACCATGAGTACATTATACTGAAACTACATTTTTAATAAAATCGTTCATACATTGTCTTTTGCTTCTTTATTGAATTTTGCCTCAAACGACAATGCAATTTTTCTAGACCTCAAATGCTTTCACTGTCTCCTTTGAGCAGTTAGAAAAACGCTTGAACTTTTTGTAAATCTCCGTAAGTTTCGATGAAGCTCGGCACTGTTTCTTTCTTATTTTCATCTTCGCCTTGTAAAAGCAAACAGAAAACTGATCCTAAAGTCATTGAAAATTAGCAGAAATAAACTAATGAAAATTAACAGGAATAAACTTGCAACGAAATAACATTAGGAAATGGCGTTAATAACGCAAATGTGGAACTGAATTTCCCTCGCATATGTTACGTTATAACTATTTTGCCAAATTTAAACTCCCCGCTCCGAATAAAAAGAAAGATAGCAACTATGCATGTCACTTCAATTTTTTTTCCTCCTCGGGAACGTGGTTCACAAATGCTTAATGAGCGGAAACTAGAGTTCGGGGGACGATGATTGAAGAACTTGATGACATTTTCAATATACAGCTTCATTCGGGACCAAATATTGCGAGAAATACGTGTGGAAAATAAATCCTTGCCAGAACATTATATTCAGTTCTATTGGATATGTATAAATACAAACGTATCAGAAAACACTATTTCTTTCCTCAATCATTCCTTTCCTATGACCTTGTTAAAGAACTTTTTCCATTCTGATAAGTTAAAAAGTGCTTCTGTTAACCTATGGCAGAATAAACCGAAAAGTAAGCTTAAACTGCAATACAGCCGCTCCCCCCCCTTAGTATTATTGAACACATTATAAATTAATGATTTGTTAAAATCCCAAATACGTTATTTGCTTTGCTGATTTCTTGAAATCCATGTCTAACTAAGTTACAGCTTTAAAAAGCATACTTTTAATTTAAGAAACTAGATGTACACCCTCTGAAATACTGACGGTAGCTGACTGTCAGTGTAAAACTATGTATAATTTGTAATGCGAAACGTTCTAGATTTCATTACGGGTCATTCAGTTCTATATGAGCAGAGTGAGGTCTTGAATTTATCTTTTAAAATTGAGTTAAACGTTTAAATATCTTTTTTTCTGCTATATTTAATGATGAGTATTTGTTCCCTTTCTCAAAATCTGCCTCTTAATTTTCAAGAAAATGACTTGAAAATTTGTCACATTCTCTAAATTCCACGTTTTGAAACTTTGACATCAACATAAATGCAAACATTTATTGTGCAGTAGTACACATATGTGGTAATTAAAGGGATAAATTTATTGTAGCCTCTAAGCTCCATGATTATTTTCGCAAATATTAGGGAATTAGCTAAGTTTTCAAAAACATTAGATTTTTTTCACAGTCTTCATATTTTTCTTATTGTTTTTTAATTTCTATAATAATTATTAGGTTATTATTACATTTAAATACTAATTTTTCTATTTTATATTAGAATTGCAATAAAACTTCACTGCGGAGTAATCCTGTTTAAAAAAAAACAACATATAACGATGAATTTTGAATTACACTAATTTTTGTTGGTCTTTTGGAATATGAGTTACATGATAAATACAATGATAAACACATCTCCAGAATTTCATTAGCAGGGCCGTTTCTCGCGGGGTGCAGGGCGTAAAAGGATGTTGGCGGCCAAAATTAGAGGCTGTCGGACTCGCGAGGGCGATACCACAACTAAATACTTCAAATTCATTAAACTGATTCTAAGTACTTGTCATATGTAAGTACTTTTCATACAATTTATCATAGGTAAGTACTTTTCATACAATTTATCATATGTAAGTACTTAGTGACTATGAAATTAAAATTTTATTAATCATTGAGAAATTTTCTTAAATTGGGGGATGGCAATCTTAGGAAATTACGCGAACAGCCCTAGGAACGGCCTTGTTCATTGGTTTATAAATGTAAATTTCAGTGTAAAATGTATAACTTTTATTCAGTCAAATACTAGTCCCAGCAATATCCCAGCATTCAATGATAGTACGTTCCAAGATCGTGGCTATGTGAAACGAGCATAGGTCGAAGGCTGTGGTGTTAGCGTAATAACCAGAAATGTGGTAAAATCGAATTTATTAAATTACTTACTGTAAGATAATAAATAGCATTCACAATACAGTGAATTTATGTTACACTGCCTTTACAGCGAACATTCTTATTCATAACAGATTTTGGGACTTTAACTTAATCCTTAAGGCATCACATAACAATAATAAACATGTTGCAGTTATGTTTTGGAGCAGTGGTGCCCGACCTTTGGCCTATAGCGAGCACATTTCCAAAACATCAACATTTTTGTTAAACATACTTTCTATCCCATGTGATACATCTGAAATATTAATTTCGGCAAATAGGTTTGAGATGAATAATAATATTGGTTGAACTTTCATAGAAATCAGAGAAGCGGAATTCAAAATTATTTTTCAGTGCATTTTTTTGGTTTTCCAAGTATTTCTCTGTTTCAATTGCTCTGTGGTTATTAATATGGCTTGATAAATTCTGAAAATGGGCGAAATTGTTTTCTTTCATCTGATTTATCCGCAAATTTAACTTTTTTAAAATAATCTGAAAAGTAGTTATAATCCCAGTCAATTGAAAAAGAGTTTTTTTTTTTTCCTTTTCCCTGGAGATCTTCGCTCAGTTTGTTCAGTTTAGCTGTTATATCCATGAGAAAATAGAAATCGGGTAACCAATTATTATGATCCAATTCTTTATAACTTTCGTTTCCGGATTCCAAAAACTGCTTTATTGACGAAAGAAGTTCTACAAATCGTTGAAGTACTTTTCCCCTGCTGTACTTTTCCCTTCTAACATCGGAATGAAGCAATAAGATTCCATATTCGCTATCAAGTTCATCAGTCAGTAATCAATTATTTTATAACGTCTTGCAAGATATCTCTTATGACTATAAGTGCTTACCATATTTTAACAATTAAGAAATATAAATGAATGGTTATTTTAAAAATATTTTTTCTTTATATATACCTAATCGGGCTGGCGAGCACATACAAAACGATCGGCGAGCACAAGGTTGGGCACCGCTGTTTTAAAACCTTCATATGCTTTCATATTATTGCAGAACAACAAAAATCATGCTTTCAGTAAACACACTGCATAACCAATGAAACAAAGCTCCAATTCACTCATTATTTGGCCTCATGGTCGGAAATGCAGTAGGAACCAGATATATTTGGGCTGTTGTATTTCGTTATGTTGTATTCCGTTCCTGTTTTATATTGTACAGATATTAGATATTTTGAAGCGGGAAATATGAAAAATGAGCAAAGCCCTGACCGGGACT